CTCTGTGGACCCACGTGCCCCCAGTGTGCCAGGAGGTGGTACATGGAATAAAAAATTACTCTGGAGCTTTAAGAATTAATGTTTTCCTTGTTGGTTTTGGGCTTACTTTGAAACAGTTGCTCCTTCCTTGACTCTTCTGTGGAATGGGAAAATGTATCCCGGGTCTATCCCACTGTTCTTTTGAAAGTAGGTAACTTGGGGCCGGCACTGTGGTGGAGTGAGTAAAGTCACCACCTGCAGTGCAGGAATCCCATATGGGCGCCTGTTTGAGTCCTGGCTGCTCAGGACTCAGTCCAGTAGAAGATGACTCAAGTCCTTGGGCCCCTGTACCTGTGTGGGAGACCTGGAAGAAGCTCCTGGCTTCTGGTTTCCTGGTGAAGCTCTGGCTGTTGTGGCCAATTGGAGAGTGAAACAGCGGATGGAAGACCTCTCTCTCTCTCTCTCTCTCTCTCTGCCTCTCCTCTCTCTTTGTAACTCTTTCAGATAAAATCTTAAAAAAAAAAAAAAAAAAGTAGGTAACTTGTTTTGATTTCGGTAGGCTTGCTACTGGAGGAAATTTTCCTTAAGGTGAGGAGAGTTTCCTGCCTTGAGTTTCACCCAGAGCTGATTTAGGTGAGACTGTGGACTTGGTTCTAGTAAGAGTTAAGAATTTGGGGGCTATTGATGTCTTAAATGTATTTTGTGTATGAAAACACGAGTGTTGTGAGGCCAGGGGTGGAATGCTGTAGTTTGAAAGTCTCCTCCAAAACTCGTGTTGTAATTTAATTGCAATGTAACAGTATTAAGAGGATAGGGCCTCTTAGAGGTGATTAGGTCAGGAGGGCTGCAGGGTATGGGTTCCTAGAAAAGGAGGGGTTCTGCTGGTTTCCTTTTGCTGCCTCACACATGTGGCTTGCCCTTATGCCATGCTGTGATGCATCACAAATGCTGTTGCCAGATACTGGTGCTGCGCTCTTAGATTCCACAGCTTTCAGACCATGAGTCAAATAACCTTATTGTTTATACTTTAACTGTAGTAATTCTGTTGTAGTCACAGAAGGCAGACATGTGTGGTGGCAACAGCCAGTTAAGAAAGAACAGTGGTGCAGTAGGTTAATCCTCTGACTGCAGCACTGGTATCCCATGTGGGCACCAGTTCTGGTCCCAGCTGCTCCTCTTCCAATCAAGCTCTCTGCTGTGGCCTGGGATAGCAATAGAAGTTGGCCCAAGCACTTGGGCCTCTGCACTCGCATGGGAAACCCTGAAGAAGCTCCTGGCTTCTGGCTTCGGATCAGCTCAGCCCCGGCCGTTATGACCATTTAGGGAGTGAACCAGCGGATGGAAGACCTTTCTGTCTTATCCTCTGTAACACTATCTCTCAAATAAATAAAATCTTTATATTAAAAAAAAAAACAGCTTCAGGTGTTTTTTTTTTCATCAAATAAATCCTCATTCTCTGGAGTCATTTGTATAGTGAAAGATAAAACAGAAATCCATTGAGGCCAGCATTGTTTATAAGGGGCAGAAAGATGAAAGGGCAAAATATTTAATGTTAGAGCCAAGTCATTTCGTTTTCTTCCGTGGGTAAGACTAAGTAATTACTCAGAAAACAGACTTAAATTTCTGTTATATTATCTATTGATTTGCTTTCACCAATCTGATACTGTATTTCCTAACATTGAATTGTGTGGCGTTCTTTTTGAGGACTTAGAAGACTGTTGTATTTTTCTGTTTGACAAAACAGCCGTCTTGTGAAAGGTATTTTCTAAAATTTTTGTATATAACTTTACAACAGTTCATTCTCCTTACAAATAAAACATCCCTATTAACAATTTAGATACTTTATAATATAATCAGGTAACTTTAAATATTTTTGACAGTCTTCTGGTTGATCACCTGAAAAACTTCTGCCACCCTGAATAGGGACCACAGGAAGGTTTGAGAGACTGGATTTATTCCTTTCTAAATAGTTATGTTTAAGGAGAAGAAAATGAAGAGTTTCTAAAACTAATCTGTTATTTTGTATCCTTATATAAACGTTAGATTTAAAACACTTTGTATTGTTTTCATTTGTTTTGTGTTTCTGACCCTAACAAGTACAAGTAAAATCCTATTAGAAAGAAAAACTTTATGATAGTGTTATCTATTTGGCAGATTGTTCATATAAACAACTTTGTTAAACCTTTGGCTGTTTATCAGATATTGATGAGTGCTAAGCCCCATTGTACTAAACCTGAATGTGTTAGTGATGCTGTGTCTGGTGTTCTAGTGATGCCCGATACAGTCCAGAGTAGAACTGCTCTTCCCTGAAGATACAATAAAATATTTTAAATGAATTATATAATAGACATAAAATATTTTGTGCACGTCAGCTTTTTCTGTATAGGATAGCCATATTGACATGCTGTGTGTGTATGTGTGTGTGTGTATAAAATGCTCATTTTTAAACAGATTTTTGTAAATGTTACAGGGTAAGGCTGGATATTGGTATTAGGAAAAGCTACTCTTACAAAATTTATTCATATTTTACTTGCTAAATAACATTTCAGAGAATAAGGAATTTAAAATAAAAACCCTGGTAAATTTAGGTTTAATTACCAGAGATTTCAGGTTTTTATTATCTTATGGATAAATCTAAGGGTTCTCAATGCATGAGATTCCCTATCCTTACTTGGAATTCTAGGTGCTAGAGATTAGCAGTCATGTGCTGGTGGAGTTGTCCTGCTTTCTAAAAATGTAATACCTTAATTACCATAAAAACTGTCTTTCTTGTCTTGACTCCATACAGCATCAAAAGTCATAAAATTCTTTTTTCCTTTATAGAAGAAAAGGTCACACTTATTTTCTGCACTTCAGAGTAAGTTAAAGTATCCCAACTGCGAAGTGTAACTTAGGTGCATTGTTAACTGATGAAACATTGTTTTGCCTACTTCTTCAACCATCCTCTGCTTTCTCCCTCAATTTGTGTTACACCCCTAACATTCTGTGAACAGAATTTTTTTTAACAATTGTTACAATTCCATTTGTAACTTACAGTAATTTATTTGCATCTTAAAGAAGTTGAATATGTTGTGGCAATTTTGACAACCAGCAAGCTCATCTAAGGTTGTACCTGTAATTTCATGATAATCCCACATGCTCACTCTAGTCTATGTAACTGACAGGGATTATGTGTGGTTTCCTATACAGGTACAGTAACTGACATCTAGTAACATTTACCCTTTGATGAGTTCCCTGAACTCTGTTTTCCTGTGTAAGAAATCACTTAAAATTCACTTACATTCAAGCTGCTCATCAGAAGATATAGGGAAAATAAAGTAATGATTATAATGCACATTAGTGCTTTGCTCTTCGTAGTAGTATAAGCTATATTGGTCAGTGATTTAAATTTATAATAATGAATAATACATGATTGCAGCAATGCAAATGATGCAGAAGTGTTAGGAATGTTACCTATGTTACATAGTAGAGCAGATTTCCATTCAGATGCTGTCTAAATGCTAGTGGTTAAATGATTAAGTTTTGCTTTTTTTGTTTGTTTGTTGAGTTCGTACTATGTGCCAGGCTCTTGACTGAAATAACTAATGAGAACTTTGTAAGTTTTCTATTCCAGATTTTGGATGTTTACTTTGAATTAGTCATTCTTGAATAATAAGACTTGAATTCCAGCAGTTCTTACTATATTCTTCTTCTCAGGCTAAACAGGAAAAGACTGTGGATCCTAGATTTTAAACAGGGAAATGATAAGAAGCTGAAACTAGTGGCTTAAATGAGATTAGGCTTCTCAGGGTTTTTAATTTTCTGTGTGGCATTTCTGTTAGCATTGCCACTTTACTATAAGGAACTATGTTTACTGTTTTTGTAATAGTAGCATCTGTTCTTTTTGGAACAACTCATTTCACAGAATCATTGAGTAGCCAATTCCTGTTCTCTCTTTACTTAGAATTTTTCCAGGGAATTTCACAGGGCAGGATAAGAGAAGAAAAGCCATTTGGGTAACTCTTCTGTTACATTTGTATCCCTCTCCCTTGGATCAGCAGATGTAAACTCTTATGTTCTCTTCCTGCTAATTGACCAGCAGCACCCTGGATTATTATCATCCCTTTGTCCAAAGGAATGGTGTAGCTGTATTCAATGACCCATTACATGTTATATCCTATCTATTTCTAACTATTAGAAGTATTTATTTTTTTCTTTATTATTATGATTTTAAAAATAAATGATTGAAGGAAACATCGAGTAATGAAAAAGTTTCAAGAACAGTTAGCATTAACATTTTGTTGTGTTTTGGTATAAAAATCTTTTTCCTTTTCATCACATTTAAAAATAAGCTATTGGAAAAATGTGAAATAAAAAATATAGTTAGCATTAAACATTGCATTCAGTTGTAAGGATTTATATTTTCTAATAAGATAAAGCCTGTATGATTGCATGGCTATACAGGTAATACAATACAGATTAAATTTTAAAATGCAAGTTTTGTTTTGCCATTTTAAAAATAGGACCTGTATATACTTTTAAGAGCTATTTACAGATCAGTATGAAAATTGATTTTTTTCATTTTTTAGATTACATGACTGATACTACCTTAGTAAGTTTTCGAATCAAGTGAGAAGTACTAAGCCGAGTAGTAAGCAAGTACAAAGTTATTTAATAGTCTTAAAAGGTTCTAATTTCCCCAGAAATAAAGGAAGATTTAGCCAGATGTTAAAATTATGTGTGATTATAAATTACCCTTTTTGTAATAATTGTCTAATTTAGTAGTTTCTATTTAGCTAGATTTTCCCAGTTCTAGTTTGGCATGATAAAGCATCAGTTGAAACAAACCATATAGGGCGAATGTATGTGGATAATATTTACACCGTTGGAAAATCAACTGCAAGTTAGTGCATGCCTCAGGAAATAGAAAAATGAATGCAAACTTTTTCTAACTTAATTTAGGTGGTCTGACCTCTAGAAATATGTGTGTTGTATATTTTGAAATATATAAGGAATGTTAAGTCTTTTCTTTCCTTTTTTAGCTTTAGATTGTAAGCAAAAGAAATCAAGGTCAAGATCTGGAAGCAAGAAGAAAATGCTAACATTACCTCATGGTGCTGACGAGGTTTACATTCTCCGATGCAGGTATATGACTTTATGGCCATATCTGATGATTTATATCAGATTTTTGCTTTGAGACATATCAGTTATTTTACTGAGATTTTTTTAATTTGTGGCAGAGGATATCGCAACAATTAGATTACAAATGAACTTTGGAAACAGTTTTAAAATTTTATTCAACTCAGTATATTCATTGTAATTTTTTTCAAGTAATCTAATTTTTTACATTAGCCAAGCATCTCTATTATACAGTGATTATAAAAGTGGTTTGTTGATTTGGGTTGTTTAGTTAGTGTTTTACAGTCTTGAGATTTTGCCCATAGGGAACATATTTTCTCTCCCCTCATCCTCATACCTCCTTCATAGGCCCTCAAAGAAACAAGTAATGACACAATGTAGTTTAAGGATTTGTGAATTAGGGAAAAGTCTTTCCTAAAGAATGACACATTTTGGAGTAATTGTTGTTTTAAGTCAATTAAGATGTGTAGGTTTTAAAACCAGTTAATTTTTTTAAAAAGATGTATTTTTTTAAAAGATGTATTTATTTACTTGAGGCAGATTTACAGACAGAAGGAGAGACAGAGATCATCCATCTGCTAGTTCACTTGCCAAATGGCCACAATGGCTGGAGCTAGTCCTTTACGAAGCCAGGAGCCTGGAGCTCTTCCCAGTCTCCCACGTGGGTGCAGGGGCCCAAGCATTTGGGCCATCTTCCTCAGTTTTCCCAGGTGCATCAGCAGGGAGCTGGATTGGAAGTGGAGCAGCCAGGATGCAAACCGGTGCCCATATGGGATGCCAGTATCGCAGCTAGACACTTAATCTAATAAGCCAGAGCACCAGCCCTAGGACCAGCTAATTTCAAAAAAATATGTATATATTTATGTATTTGGAAGGCAGAGGGAGACAGATACCTTCTCTGGTTTACTCCTCAAATGGCTACAACAGTCAAGGCTAGACCAGAGGAGCCAGGAATTCCATCTCTATCTCCCATGTGGGTTGCAGGGGCCCAAGCACATGGTCTATCCTCTGCTGGTTTCCAGGTGCATTAGCAGGGAGCTGAATTCCACCTGGGACTTGAACTAGCACTCCAATAGGGAATGCCAGGGTCACATGGTATCTTCATCTGCTGTACCACATATTTAGTTAGTTTTAATCTAGTATTGTTCCTGCATCTACAAAGATTACTTAAGTCCAATATAGCTGTTAATAAACATAGGAGTTGGGAATTTTAATGTTGAATTAGGGGCCAGAACTGTGGCGCAGTAGGTTAATCCTCCACCTGCGACGCTGACAACCCATCTGGGCACCGGTTCTAGTCCCTGCTGCTGCTCTTCTGATCCAGCTCTCTGCTATGGCCTGGGAAAGCAGAGGAAAATGGCCCAAGGGCTTGGGCCCCTGCACCCGCGTGGAAGACCTGGAAGAAACTCCTGGCTCCTGGCTTTGGATCTGCTCAGCTCCAGCTGTTGCGGCCATTTGGGGAATGAACCAGAAGATGGAAGACCTTTCTCTGTCTCTCCCTCTCACTGTCGGTAACTCTCGCTTTCAAATAAATAAATAAAATCTTTAAAAAAAATACGGTGAATATTAAGTAATTGACTTTTGTGTGTGTGTGTGTTATCTCCAATATATGGTAAAGTTTATTCTTTCTGTTTAGGGATTTTATGTGAATCGGTTTTTTTAAAAGGGAATTGGTCATATTAAGAGAATTATTACCAACTTCTTCATTAGGTTTTGTGGACTAGTCTTTCGAGGACCATTGTCTGTTCAGGAGGACTGGATTAAGCACTTACAACGACACATTGTAAACGCTAATCTTCCACGGACTGGAGCTGGCATGGTGGAAGTCACATCACTACTTAAAAAGCCTGCCTCCATTACAGAAACTTCATTTTCTCTACTAATGGCAGAAGCAGCTTCATAGAACCAGGAAAACCTTTTACATAGCAAATTTGAATTGGATGTAAATTTGAAATTTTTTTTTAAGCCACATTAAATTATCCGTTTACTAAAGCAGCAAAATGGGGAAAAGTGAATTCCAGTGACATCAGAGCAAATCAAATACTTAAAACAGTAAGTAGTCTATATATTTTATATAGGGTGGAAGATTGTTTTTAAGGCTTACTAACTTTTGTTGGCTAACCATGTTTACTCAGTAAGAGATCAGTACATGTAAGCAGCCATTTATAAACTGTTGCACATGGATACTTACAGATTTATTGAAATTATGTTTCCTTCAGTGTTACCAGAATCAAGGCTCTGTTTATTCCCCACAAGACTTGCATAGAAAAATAAGATATTATATTTTGTTTGTATGTATTTAGTGTTTTGTATAATACCAGGAACTGCTAACTAAATTTACTCAATTTAGGGCATTAAATATCATGTACTTCATAGTTTGAGACTGTTCATTCAAATAGGGCAGAGTATTATTCTATCTAGATGTGTAAGTGTTTTTTTAAAATCACATGGAACGGTTTTTTTTATACTAAAAAGTGGAGGGAGATTTGTTTAAACAAGTATTTCTAAAAGAAATATGTACATAGTCCTGGAAATTATTTGTGGTAAGGAAATATTCTTTACTCCAGTTGCATTTCTCAGACAATAAAGTGGTGCATCCATGCTACCTCCTACTTTGTCAACAAAGATGCTATTTACCCTTTACATTTTTGTATCATAATAGATTTAAAAAAATCTAATGTTCTTTATTGCAAGACATCTTTTTGTTAACAGATTTGTTTCTTTTTAATGTTTTACCTAAAATTTGACATGCTTACAGGACAGGTTTGCCTCTTTATTTAACATTGTAGAAATGTAATTAATAAACAGTGCTCACTACACAACTTAGAATAGGCTTTCTCATTTATATTATCTTCCAAATTTGATCAGTTAGCAAAACTTAATACACCAATTAAAATATTTCTACTTATGATGAGAATGTTTACAATTTAAATTTTAGAACTTGTTTTGGATGTGATTATATGTACAAAAATCGTGTAACACTATGCTCATGCTAAGAACCGACATAACGGAATTACTGAAATAAATGTGCTGTGAGGAATGGAAAATATGGTGCAGGTGTCTTGGTCATGATAAATTGTGATTATCCTTTTAAAGTCTTTTCAAAAACAGATTAGTTCTTTTTATCTGAAATCAGATTCTTCTACAAATAGCAGTTTTGTATGCAAGCACCATTTTATTTTATTTCATGTAGTTTGGCTAATACTATAGTTGAACCCAGGATATGCATTGATACTATTCTTCATATGTAAATAAAGTTAACAACAGTTAAAATAAGGAGTATTTTGGTAGAGTATATACATACCTCACTGCCAGTGAAATCGCTTTCTATGGTATATCCTTACCAGAAAAATCTCTAAATAAAAAAAACTTAAAATGATAATGTCTATAATGTGAAACATTTATTTTTATCATGGATGGAAATAGTCCACTTAAAGTTGTTTCATTTTTATTCAAATTGTTTCTCTTTAGCAGGTTACTATGTTCACAGGATTCTCTCCCCTTTCATAATTAATTAGACCTCTAAATCCAGAACCATTTTAAATCTGAAATTAGGAGATTGATTCATGAGTCATTCCTAGCCAGACTCCTGATTTCTGGGGCAAGTAGATAAGGACAGGGTGATGTAAGTTATTTGCAGTTTTGCAAATGGCCTGATAGAAACTGCACTTATCTATAATGGGGAGACTAAAACATCAAATATCATTACTTTTGACTGAAAATATGCCTAGTCTCTGTATACTGATTATATCTTATTGAACAGTGTTTATTGATAGTTATATGTAATTTTTTATATTGGAAGACAAACTACGTAGGAAGTAGAGTTCAGAAGTTTTAAAAAAAGAAAATATAGGGTTCCTGGTGGGAAGGCTAGCAATCACTAGTACCACTTTTAGCCTTATTCTTATAATTGTATGATTTTTGTCTCATCAAGGTAATTACTAAGATGTGTGAATACTAGTATCTGAGTGAGTTTGGCCACAGTTTCATAATCAAACCTATGTTAAATTTTTTGTTTATTTTAAAAGTAATTGTTTTTCCTTCTAGATGTAAGAAGAATTCATCATAAAATAGAATAATTTAAATTAGAAACAGTAAAACAAGGTTTCTAAAAAGTAAAGAACATCTTTCATAGTAAAGATACTTGGATTACAAAATTTAACAAATTCTTTAGGACATAGTCACAGTTCACCTTTTATTTGGCAAGTGTAATGTTAATGTGCTTTCATTTAGATTCCACTAGAAGAAGGAGTATAAAACATCAACTTACATGATAGGTCTTTATGTCAACATATTATGTGGTATTAATTTAATAACAATTTATTCTCAGTGTTAACTAATTTTAATTATTTTATCATTGCCTAGATATGTAAACTTCTTTAGCTATAGGACCTTTTTTAATATAAATCCAATCAGAAGAGTTGATTTATTTAATAGCAACAAGACAAAAAAGTTCATTTCTACACAGTAATGTTTTCTATTTTGCTTCTTTAGAATATAAGAATGGTGGCTTAACTCATATCTTTATTTTAGGTTTCACTTAATTATGGTATAGGGAGATGATAATTTTTCAGTAATAATTTACTATGCAAACTTTTCTTGATCATATACATAATTTCTCAGGGACTGTACAGTTAGAACATATTAGATATTAGTCAAATGTTTTTTCATAAGAAAGTGTAATATATGCTCATTTTCAAAATGTTAAAATGAAAAAAGGAGGAAATCACCTGTGGTATCATCACTCAACATCTACTTTTAACAGCTTATGCATTTCTTTCTCATATTATCTCAGTAGTTATGATCAGAATGTACTAAAATACATCCTTTTTTCCTACATTGGTTTCTAAATTTGAGGGCTGCATTGCATAAACTAGTTTTTGAATCTTATACTTGACTGTGACAAAAACCAGTCAGCATCAATAATATTTCAAATTATGGATTAGAATAGAATTGATTATCACCTCTGCTGCAGAACATAGCTTTCATATTAATTTCAGCAGTGGGAGCTTGCTTTCGTATTTTGAGGATCAGCCAAGTTCAGTCACAGATCTTCAAATAATACCTTTAAGTTCTTAGTCCTTTGGAGATAAGTAGAACCTGAGTTGTTCTGATTTTCACAAATTTATTAAGTAATGCCTTCAATTGCTTAAACAAACAAGAATAATAATGAAACTTACAAGATTGATCTCATACTACATGGTTGTTACTAGATTAGGCCAAAAATCAGGATGTACAAAGAGTACAGATAATCTAATAAATTACCAATTTGTTTCCTTGTAAAAATTTTAGACACTAAAAAGAAAAAAAAAAAACATAAAATTCCCTGACATTAAACATTTGTTATAAACTTCACTATTCTTATTTCTGCTTATAGACTTTTTCGTTTTCAAAAAACATGAGCCCTGCTATATAGAACTTGACACTGAATTCTGTTTAAAGATTTATTTATTTTTAAAATTTATTTGAAAGGCAGAGACAGAGATCTCCAATCCTCTGGTTCATTCCCCAAATGGCCACAAAGGCTGGGACTGGGCCAAACCAAAGCCTGGAGCCCAGAGCTGCTTCTGGGTCTCCCACATGGGTGCAGGGGCCCAAGTACTTGGGCCATCTTCTGCTGCTTTTCCCAGGTGTATTAGCAGGCAGCTGGATGGGAAGTGGAGCAGCCAGCTCTCAAACTGATGCCCATGTAGGATACTGGCGTTGCAGAGGCTTAACCTACTATGCCACAGTGCTAGCCCAATATTGTATTCTCTTAACAATAAATCCATGGACAGTTTTGTGCCACTAAATATTCTTTATGAAATATCCTTTTAATTTTTGCATGGTATTTATTATACCATATATAATTACTTCTCTGTTGATCATAAAGATGAGTTTCTACAAGATCTAACAGTTGAATATTGTTCACTTAGTTGTGGCTTTGTATATGAATTTCTAAATTGTTTTTCCGAAAGGTCATATAACTGTTTATTCTTGCCTACAGTTTATGAGAGTAAATGGCTTGCAAATCCTCTAGTCCTTGTCATTATATTCTTCCAAACAAAATAAAACTGTTAGGTAAGAAGTGATACCTTATGAAAACAATGAATGTGAACTTTTGATTTTACAGGTATTAGATATCTAACTTAAGATGTTAAGTATATAATATGAATAATTATGTTCTGCTAGATAATGTGTCTAAAGTAACTTCAACTCTGATATCATACTTGGCTACTGGGACAATAGAGAATGTCCTTAACCTGTAGTATTTTCAAGAGATCTTTACTGTTTTATTGATTCCAACATTTTTTGTGTGTCTCTGTGTTCATTTTTCTGAGAGTTCTGTAGCACTTGTCATATACTCAAATTGGTCTGTGACCCCTGCACCCTTCCCCCAAAAAGTAAAGAGTAACTATTTTGAAAGTAATACATGTCATCATGTCAACTGTCAAGTGGTTTATGTTTTTGAGAATAATTCTACACAAATTCTAATTAAAATTAACCCTCAAAATCTTACGGTATAGGGTTTTGTTTTGTTTTTGCATGGTGGCGGAAAAGAGATATTGTGAACTATTTGTATCTTCTGACAAGTTTGTAGAAGATTGTTCAGAAATTTGTTCTTACAAGTTGTTTGATTTCTTAAAGATACCCAAAGAGTTGGTTCTTTCTTAAGCTTTTAAGGTCAAACTCTTGGATTTTTTTTTCTGTTGTTGAGTTTGAGTAGTAAATTTCAGTGAGTATTTTTAAGTAAGAAGCTTTTAGAAAATGTTTAGTTTCATTTATAATTTAATTAAACTTGATATTTTCAAGTGCATTTATAAATTCAGTATATTGATTCTGTTTCAAGAACCTCAGTTTCCTAATTTAAAACCTCTGAAGTATGTAAATATCTCTTGCAAATCAATAAATTAAACTCTGTAATATGTAGAACCTTGATTTCTCTTAAGTATTTCAGTGCCTCATATAACTTTAAAATTTCTACTTTAAAATCAGAAGTAAAAGTTGATTACTCATCTATACACATTTTAAATTGGATTTAGAAGGCTGAACTATTAGTCTTACAAGCCAGATTTCTTATAAAGTATACACAAATTGCCTCTTGTTTAAATCATTTCCTTGTGAGATAAAGTACATAAACATGTTAGTTTTTTGTTTTTTTAAATATTTATTTTATTTGAAAGAAGAGAGAGAGCTTCCATCTGCAAGTTCACTCCCCAAGTGGGTGCAACAACACGGGCTGGGACAGGCCAAAGCCAGGAGCTTCTTTGGGGTCTCCCACATAGGTGCAGGGGCCCAAGCACTTGGGTCATCTTCAGCTGCCTTCGCAGGCATATTAGCAGATGGGAAGTGGAGCAGCCAGGAATAAAATTGGTGCCCATATGGGATGCCAATGCTGCAGGCAGCAGCTTAACCTGCTACACCACAGCGCTGGCCCCAGTGTGTTTCTGTTTAAAGAAATATTTTAATTTCTATAAAAGGACAAGATACAGAACATTGCCAGAACCCCCCCAGTTCTCTCTTTACCTTTTCCACTATTCTCACTTTTCTAAAAACCATTTGTTTGCTTTTCTTAACAGTTAACCTTCTATGAGTGAACCTAGTTTAATTTTGGGTCCTAGGATAGCCTCTTCCTTCAGAGGATTTGCATTTCTTCCTGCAGATGTCCAGGAATGTTAATTGTTTAGAATACCTTAATCTGAGCTCAAATTTTGAGTTTACCTGGACTACTCAGATGACCCAAATTCAGGCTATAAGAGCTGCATTATAGGAAGAATGGGATACATCTAGTTTAGCTTTTACTTTGTGGATATAATTTTATTCTCCTAGAGCCCATGATACTGTTGGAAGTACAACTCAGTTTCATAGCTGTTTATTACGATAGTAAATATCCTCATGGTAGAAGGGAAAAGTTTCTCTCCTGGATATCTTCACTGAGTTTTTGGCTTCTCTTAGCTGTTTGACTCAGTAATTTTTCACTAACTTGTTAATTCTTTGATACCTGTATTGTTTTCTTTTTATTAACCCAGCATTTTAAGAAATATTTATATGAATTTTCTGAGGTTGAAGATTTTGTGTTTTGTTCACTTATATTTTCCTAAAAGTTTGCACCCAGTAAAGCATTTATCAAGTGATTAAATGAATGAACTATTTTAAGATAAATTTAAATGGGGTATAAAATCTGTTTTCCCTTTGTTTTTCTTTTTAAAAGTTATTCTTGAGCATTTTTCTCTCCCACACATATTTTAGAATTAATTTGGGAACTTATGCCTTTGGAACATCTTGAGATTTTGCTTACTACTTCTGCACTGCAGTTTGTGGAAAATGAAAAATTATGAATCTTTCATTTTGGGAGTATGCTTTGTTTTTCTATTTGTATTTTGATCCCTACAGGAAGGTTGCAGTTTTATACTGGAGAATTGCACATTACTTTTAAAAATTATTTCTATATATTTTAGTTTTTTCTTATTCTAAATGGATTTTTTTTCTAGAAATTTCAAATTCAGTACTGCTGATCTAAAGGAAAACTACTGATTTTCTGTATATCAATATTGCTGATATTTAAAGTCACCTTACAGAACTCTTATTATTTTTTTCACATTTTACTCTTAATTTATGAGTAGCCAGATCATCTGAAAATTGATAATTACTTCTTTTGATTTCTGATATTTCTATTTCTATTGTTAATTGTATTCTTATCAGAAATTGCTAGTACAATACTAGTGATAATTTCTGATGAATCTGTTTCATTATTAAATGTAATTTTGTTGGATGTCCCTTGTAGATACAGTTTATTGAGTTGGAAAAATTCATTTTGTGTGGGATGAGTTTTAATGAAAAATAACATTTTAGCCAGTATTCCTTCAGACTCTTTGAGATTGCCGTTTGATTTTTCTTATTTTATCTGGTGATGGTAATAAAATGCATAATACATTTTTAAAAATTATTTATTTATTCATTTGAAAGTCAGTTACTGCGAGAGAGGGAGAGACAGAGAGATCTTCCATCTGCTGGTTCACTCCCCAGATGTTAACAGCCAGTGCTGGGCCAGGCCGAAACCAGGAACCAGAAGTTTCTTTCAGGTCTCCCACAAGAGTGGCATGCTTGGGCCATCTTCCAGTTTTTCCCAGGCCACAAGCAGGGAGCTGGATCCGATCTGGAGCAGCTGGAACATTGAACAGGCACCCATAAGGGATGCTGGCATCACACATGGTAGTTTTATTTGCTATGCCACAGTGCTGGCCACATATTCTTAAACATTGAACCATCCTCAAAATTTCTTCTTTATCATTATATATTGGCTAATACTGTGAACTTGATGTATTTCTATTTCATTGACAAATTTTTTCATGTGTGTTTATTAGTAATGATCTTTGCTTCTGCTTTGTTTGTCTAGATTTTGTGTCTGAAATGAAATACAGTAGGAACAAAAACTGAAATAAACTTTAACAGAAATATTCAATTCTCCAGAAGAAAACTGTAGGATTTTCCTGTAGGGCTTAAAAGACAAAGATAAATATAAAAACATACCGTGCTTCCCTCATAAAATGAATTAGGAAGTTTAAATTTCTGTTCTGAGATAGTTTTCTTAAATGGACCATATTGCTTTCTTACATAATATCCATCCACAAACTAATTTGGATCTATTACCTTTTGAGCAATAGATCTTTCAATTATTTTTATCATTTCTTCTATAATCACAGGTTGTCAAGCGTTTTTTCTCTGGTTTTGAGTCAATTTTAGTAGTATTTCCTTAAAAGAGTATTTACTTTGTATTTTTAAAATTTTGGTGTGATAAACTTTTTAATAGTGTCTTCTTACCAGTTATTTAATGTTCATATCTATGATTGTTTCCTCATTTATGTTTACTGCTGTCTGTATCTTCAAGTGAACTTACCGTTTTATGTATTTTTGTTAGTCTTTCCAAGAACCTGCTCTTGGTATTTTACTCATTAACTCAACTTTTCTACCTTCCAGAACTTGAAGTTTATTTCCAGGCTTTCTGGTTTTTCTAGTAAGTACATTTAAGGCTGCATGTTTTTCTGTGTGTATTAACTTGCCAATATCCCACAGGTTTAGACATGAAAGCTATCACTGTTATCTACTGATTATGTTTCAACTTTGATTTCCTTTTTAACAAATTTCTACCTTTAGGAATTTCTCAGTTTTCTGTGTGGTCTAAGATATATAATTGTTTGATAATGTTCAATGTGTTTGAAAATAATGTAAAAATCTCTGGGTTTGGGGGTATGGAATTTTTATATATTATGCTGTTTATTTATGTATAAAGGGACTTCACAAGTTTGTGTAAAATGGAGTTAAAAATACAAAGTATTTTTCAACATAATCTCCATAGTTGAAGACACTTTTCTAAGTGTTGCTATCAGCCATTTGGTTCATCCCTAATAAAGAACCTGAAGGTCCTGGAAATTTAATCATGTCATGTGTAGTCTGTTTACACTATTAACTGGAAAAAACAAAAAAGCATCTTTTAAGATTTTTTTTAAATTAGGAAATAAAAAGACATCTCAAGGAGCCAAAGTGGAAGCCTAGTGAATTCCTGTCTAAACTTTCAAAAAATTAGGCTTTTTAATGAGAGGAATAACGAGGTGCATTACTGTGGGAGAGAAGGACTCTTAAGGAGCTTTCTAAAGCTTTGGCTAACTTTCTCAAGACACTATTACTAAGCAAGTGTTACTGTCCTTTGGCCCTTCAATCAAGATCAACAAGCGGTTCCTTGAGTGTCCCAAAAATTGTTGTCATGACCTTTGCTATTGACCAATGTGCTTTTGCTTTGACAGGAATACTTCCCACATCTTGGTAGGCTTTATTTTATTTGTGCTTTGTCTTCAGCATTGCACTGGTAAGGCTGTGTTTCATCTCTTACAACAGTTCTCAAGAAATGCTTCAGAATCTTGATTCCACTTGTTTAAAATTTCCATAGAAACTCTGCTATTGTCTGTAGTTGATCTGGGCACAGCAGGTTTGCCACTCATTGTGCTGAAAGTTTGCTCCACTTTCCAGTCAGAATTATGTATGCTGAACCCATTGAGATATTTATGGTGTTGGCTGTTATTTCTGCTGCTAATTGCCAGTCCTTTTAAATATGGGCGTGAGCAAGGTGAACTTTTCCCTCACAATTGATGTGAATTGTCTGCGGCTGCAGGCTTCATCTTTAACATTTTCTTGTCTTTTCTTAAGATGAGTTATCTGCCAGCGCTTTGGCTCAATAGGCTAATCCTTTGTCTTGCAGCGCCGGCACACCGGGTTCTAGTCCAGTTCGGGGAGTGATTCTGTCCCAGTTGCCCCTCTTCCAGGCCAGCTCTCTGCTGTGGCCAGGGAGTGCAGTGGAGGATGGCCCAAGTCCTTGGGCCCTGCACCCGCATGGGAGACCAGGAGAAGCACCTGGCTCTGCCTGCGGATCAGCGCGGTGCGCCGGCTGCAGCGCGCCGGCCACGGCGGCCATTGGAGGGTGAACCAGCGGCAAAAGGAAGACCTTTCTCTCTGTCTCTCTCTCTCACTGTCCACTCTGCCTATCAAAAAATTAAAAAATAATAAAATAAAAAAAATGAGTTATCTGTTCATAAACTTCTGATTTCCGTGAGTCATTGTACCCATAAACTTTTTATACATCGTTAGTGATTTCATCACTCTCCTACTCAAGCTTTGCCGTAAATTTGAAATTTGTTCGTGTTTCAATTTAAACAATTCACATTGCTCTGATAAGGGGCTGTTTTCACATTGATAACTCCCCCTAGTATCCCAGACTAGATCCTATTCAGACATATTATAACAAATCAGTCTGAGTTTATTTTGGATGCTAAGTGATTTTTAAATTCATGCATACCTTTTTATAATATGTATTTCCACAAAATTTTTAATGTCCTGTGTATATGTTCTATATAAATTATCTATGTTTAGGATTTCAGTGATACTGTTTAAATTAGCTGCATATCAGATAGGTTTTCTGCTTCACCTGTCAGATTTGGTGAAAGCTAGGTTAGGACCCCAGTATGATTACTATTGTGTCAGTTTCTCCTCATCCTCAGTTTTTGCTTTCTGTATTTCCAAACATTGTTTTTAATTATACTGAGGTTCATGACTGTTCAGTCCACTTGGTAGAATGTTCAATTTTTCAAATGGAAATAAGTTTGTCTTTTTTCTTTCCAATACTTTATTTTCAGTTTTTTCTTCTGTTGATGACATTGTGTTTTTTTTTAATTTGGCCTTTAATTGATTTCAAACTAGAATTACAGTACTGCACAAGAATCCTTTTCTCTCTGCTTTCAAAATGGATAACTAGCTATATCCAGCACCATTTATTAAATAGTTTTATAGTTTTTCTTTGTCCAACAGAATTGAGCTACATCTTTTTTATGTATCAAATTATCATAAATCGATTGATCTGCAACTGGAATCTATTCTGTTCATCTCCGTTGTGTTTTTCAAATCCAGCAACATGTTTATTTGATTACAGGGTGTTTTATACTGTGTTCTTTAATTTGTATATTTTTTTAATTCAAGAAGCAAGAGACAGAGGGATAGTGCTCCAATTTGCTGTTTTTTTAAAAGTATATTTATTTACTTGAAAGCAGAGTGACAGAATGAGAGACAGAAAAAGAGGGACTTTCCATCTGCTGGTTCACTCCCCAAATTATTGCAACAGCCAGGTCTGGGCCAAGCTGAAGCCCAGGAGCCAGAAACTGCATCTGAGTCTCCCACATGAGTTGCAGGGCCCCAAGCACTTGAGCTGTGTTCTGCCTTGCAGTGCACGTTAGCATGAAGCTGGATCAGAAGCAGAGTAGACAAGATTCAAACTAGCACTCTGATATGGGACACTGGTGTCTCAGGCCAGAACTTAAGCTGTTGTGCTACAGTGTGGGCCTCCTTTTTGTTCATTCTTTTTTGTACATCTTATGTTTTAGCTTCCTTGGTAGCCTTTCTGGAAATATTCTATTAATTCTGCCTGTTGGTATTGTTTATAAGGAAAGTAAACAACTTATCAATAATGAGTCTTCTAGAAATGTGAACTCTTTGAAATCATAGATCAGTGCTATGCCCTCTGCCGTGTCTGAAAGACACTCCAACTTCTAGAGCCTTTCCCATTGGTGGTAGCAGTTCTCCCGTGAAGGGTGTGGGTTAAAGTTTCCTCTTTGAACCAGATTGCATTGTCTTCTGCTTTTTCAGGAATTATTCATTATTTCTGATTAACCAAAATACACTTTTCTTTCCCAACAATGTTAGGGACTTTGTAAATTTTTGTTAGTTTTTAAGGATTAAAGGATCCTGCAATATAAGCCTCCTTCCCCTTTTTTAAACTCATAGGAGAATACTTCATGAAAATTAGAGTAACATACCGTATCCCTGAGCCATTATGAAACTATATTACAAGACATGGTAGTTATTTTTCAAAGCTGTGGGCTTTTTAATCACTTCCTCTTTTTTTTTTTTTTTTCTGCATATAGTTTACAAAGTCAGTCTTTTTAATGGTATTAGAACAATGTTTTCCTTCTGCTCTCTGCAGTCACTAGAAATATATATTTCATAAAGATGATAGAAATAGATGAGAACTAAAAGTGTTGTTTTAAACAGTGATTTCTTTTTTTAAAAGGCTTTTTTTTTTTTTTTTTTTGAAAGGCAGAGCTACAGAGAGGCAGAGGAAGAGAGAGAGGTCTTTGATCTTACTCTCCACATGGCTGCAGTGGCTGGAGCTGGGCCAATCCAAAGCCAGGAGCCAGGAGATTGTTCTAGGTGCCCCTGCAAGTGCAGGGGCCCAAGGACTTGGGCCATCTTCTACTGCTTTCCCAGGCCATAGCAGAGAGCTGGATGGGAAGTGGAGCAGCTGGGACTCGAACTGGTGCCCATATGGGACGCCGGCACTGCAGGCAGCAGTTTTACCTGCTATGCCACAGTGCTGGCCCCATAAACAAGAGTGATTGAGTGAATTTTTTTTATCCTGTGATATAAGTTTGTAATCTGCTTTCGGGGAGTTGTTTTTAGAAGTTGTTATTTTATGGCTATTTATTTCTCTGTTAAATAATATTTTGGAACTGAAACAATACTTACCAAAGGTTTGAGAAATATCATATGTGTGAAGATGTTTTTTTCTAGATCCTGCTCTTATCCTACATAATGCCTTGGGGAGATCTGTAGATCACAGATCATAGCTTCATGAGACCTCTTCTCCCCTGGAATGCCAGTACATTAAGGATTTAACACCATTCACTGGGAAGATGGGAGAAACTTACATTATTTCATAGGGAACTTTAAAAACATCCATTTTCTCTGTTACGTACCTGCTAGTGTTCTATTTTCTCCTCTCCACAGCTAATGTGGCTATTTGAAGTGATAATTGGCAATCTAGTAGAATATATAATCTATGTGTTATTTAATCTGTACAGAATTTAAAAGGATATCTGTTCCCCACATCATTACTACCAATTCCAAAGCTGAGTGGTCATGTAAGTTTCATTTTATTCTTATGAGGGGGAAGAAAAGTCTGATCTTAATTGTTCTTCATTGATATTTTTAGACTCTTTTCCCTCCCTACACTCTGAAAATGCTCAGCTTTGTTGAAGTTCATCCTTTGAGACTATATTACTGCATGTTTCAGTCATCTGACAATTCCCCAATATGTCAAAGCATGATACGTTTTTAGCTCCTGGTCACTTTCTACAACACTACTCATATCCTCAGCTTTGAAGATTGTCATCCATGAGAAAGTGATGTTAGAGCAAGTTGCCAAAGAAGGTGAGGGAATTAGCCATGTAATTATCTTGGGGAAAACGACCAAGAGCTGAGGGAAGAACACATACGGAAGACTAAAGCATAAACGTGCTTGGTGTGTTGAAGGAACAGCTAGAGGAAAGCAACAGAAAAGTAGGAGAGAGAGTAGTAGTGCTGGGGCTCTGTGCCATTGTTAAAGAATGTGAGATTGGATCTCTAACAAACTTAACCTTGGCCTCTTACTCCCAGAGTCATCCTCTAAACTAGGGGTGGGGAATGTCCATCCCACAGGCCATATAAGGCCCACGAAATCATTTGGTCTGTCCCTGCCAAGGGAACTGCAGGCATGACTCAAAATTCAATAATATAACAGGCTGATTTTATAATTTTGTATGGCTAGCAAATGGTATTATAAATACCCAAATGGCCCTTGGCAGAAAACAGGTTCTCCACCTCTGCTGTGAACCTTGCCTGTTATTTGTAACTGCAATTTCACCATTTTTTTCCTTGTTTTAATACTTCAATACTCCTTCTCTCTGAATTACCACTTTGTATCCTTCTAATTTTATTCTCTTTTTATGCTGACTTGAGTAATTCTTCAACCCTGCAGGGCCTACCATCCATTGGTTTACCACGTTGTCACTGATTCAGCCTCCTACCCATACCATATTCTCCCTCATTCTTTTGCCCAAATTATGTTCATTAGTCC